TTGGCGGCCTCGGCGCGCAGCCTCTCCAGCGCCAGATCGGCTCGCAGTCTGGCCTGCCCGGTTTCGGCCAATTCGGCCGAGGCTTCGGCCAGTTGGGTCTCGAGTTCGGCCAAGCGAAGCTCGACTTCCCCACGACTCCGGCCTCGCCACCAGACGCCGCCGTACACGCCGTCGCCGGCCGGTCGAGCGTCGACGACGCCGGAGGCTGACAACGAGCCGGCCCGTTCGGGGTCGCGAACTGAGACGCCGGTGTCCGAGGCTCGTCGGAACGCCTGACTTGTCGAGGCGAGAGCGTCGAAGGTCTGGAGGAGTCTGTCCACGTCGAGGGTCTGTGGGCTACGGCTTTGCGCAGCCTCGGGCAACTGGAAAGAAAGATGCTCGGCCAGACGACGTACTCGCTGCTCCGATTGAGCCAGATCAGCACGCGACTCCTGAAATGGTGGAAGCCAACGTGTGAATTTAGTGCTTCACATGTATCAGTAGACCCGGTATTTCCCACTTACGACGTTCTGGTTATAGGGTGTGAGCCAAACTTCAGGGGAAAAAAGTGAAAATCACTTCAGCCCTTGCATCACCACAAAAGGCTGAGATTTCGCAGAGCTTAGACATTCTGGTTTCATTTGGTTTCATTTGCATGTCAAACGGAGTACTTGTGTGTTTAAGCGCACTTGCAGGTATGATTTGAGGCCTGCAATACCACGCGTACCAATAAACTTTGCCCAACATTACTTTTAATATACTATTTTAGTTTCATATGAGATGTATTCACCCTATTTCGTTTAAGTGAATTTTCCCACTATCATATGAGTAAACATGACGTTTGCATAGCATTTCACATGCCTTGCTTTCCTAAAAGGTATTCTATTCCAGGCTCGAGTAGACTGCAGTTTCGACCCCGTCAACACCCCAACGGGACTCGAACCATGACATGGCACCTCGAGACATTACACCGCACCGTCACGAGTGTCATTGGGCCACAGGGCAGATGTGAATTTGAAGGAGTCAGGCATTTTTCCATATCACATTCTTTCATTGAATTGTCAGTGAAGCAAAGATATATTTGTTAATACAATCGACTATATTACTTATTTTTCGTCTATAAGTAGGGTTGATATCCAGATCATGAAGAAAATAATACGAATGCGAGTAATGAGGTCCATAGGTAAAATAAGGTCACCGGGGCGTTCACAAATTCTTTTATATTACCATAAATATGAAAACCAAGGTGGTGTGGCCTTCTATTTGGTCACAGTCTCTTTTGGCTTCAAAGCGTTGGTTCGACCTCGTCTTAGCAACTTGGCCGGAGCGTCAGGGAGACCTTGTGGAGCGTACCTACTCATGTGTCCTCTGCCATAGTAATCGTGATTTCCAACATCGGACCATTGACTTGATACATTCCCAAAACGTTCCAACGGCCTCGTCAATGAGAGGTCGACAAATTTTCTATTCAACCGATTTGGCATCACTCCTCACCTCTACTTTTTGTTCTACCTTCGAGTGTTACATCTTGTTCTCTCAATTCCACTTCATATGGAAATGGGTTGGCCTCATTTTCTTAATATGGTTTTGTTGTCAGGGCGACTTAGTTGAACTCACCTTGCCCAAACTCCTCTGCCATAGTAGTTATCATAATACCCAACATCAGACCGTGGACTTGGTACATGCTCAAAGAGGACTTCGGAAAAGGTGTGTCCAACTAAATCGCCCTGGCAACAATATCAAGTTGTGAAAGCGAGTTCAATCCATTTTTATAAATTGAAGGTAGACTACGACCCTACCGAGGGCCACATTATCTTGATCTTCATATCGTCAAAATCACATGGTCCATCTAACTATTCACACAATTCTTTGCTTTCGTTTTCTCCAATGTCGCCTAAATTAATATCGCTACAAATTGGTTTACTGAAGTTTAATCGTCTTGACCAGCGGTTCCAGGTGCCGTTTGCAGGCCTCCTGACCTTCATTTAGCCAAAATTCTCCCAATTGGTCCATGCTACATATCGAAATCAAGGTCTGGCTACCTAAGAGCCTTCAATTCCCGTCCATGATTACGTGATTTTTGAGGATTTAGAGCATGTGATGCCCATGCCCATGTCTGGGAATCTTACCCACCCAAGGCTTCAAACCCACGACTCAGTTAACCTCTTTCTCATCCCTGTCAACATTATATCTCATTCTTCGGGGCCCTGTATCAAGTTTAATTCATAACCGTGAGATAATGCAACAATTCCCTTTTCCCCTTAAATCAAATAAAGCCCATTCCTCTCGTCTCTCAAGTTGACATTCTCATCTAATCTTTGGGTAATATGATGTTCATATGTGAGTGTTGGCCGGCATCTCCCGTGGTCAAGCATGTCACCAGTCACCTCTGATTAAGACACAAACACGAAAAATGCACAAAAGCACACACACACACACACAT